ATTCTGAAAATTTCTTTCTGTGGCCACTCAATGTCTGCTTCTTCTATGTATGTTGTTATGTTCTGGACATCTTCTGCTATTGCCTTTTGTTTCTCCTGTTTTTAGTTGAGGTTGTTGGGGCTGATGGCTGTTTGCATTCTGTTATTTTAGAGGAGCCAGGTGCCATTTTCCAGGGAGTCAAAGAGCACTGTCTCTCTCTGGGAGACTTGTAGGAATGTTTCTTCTAACTGGTTACAGCTAATTTCACTATGGAATTAACCTACCAGTTTATCCTCCTGTGGCTTCCCTCTCAGTGAAGTGCCCCAGAAGACTGGTGTGTTGCCTACTTTGGTGTTGTGGAGGTTGGGCATAGGTTCCTGCAGCAGCTTGGAATGTTGACGAGTGTTGGCTGAGCTGCCTTAGGCCCCCAGGCACACAGGCAGGAATGCCCCAGTAAGAAGTTGGGCAGAGTATCCCCTGGTGGAGGTCGACAGGGCTTTCCCCAGCCTTGGGCTATCCTCACAGGGTCGAGCTCACCTAGTTGCCTTTGGCACAGGCATAAATGCCCTAGGCTAAGGGGAGTGGTCTAAAGTTCAGTGGAGTGTGAGAGAACAGGAAAGATACAAAGAGGAGGAAAAAATTAAAAAGTAAGCCCACTGAGAATTGTGCGTGGATATAGTGAAGAGAGGGAAACAAAAGCAGCAATGTAGTTGAGTCCAGATCCCCAGCTGTGGAGCTGAAAGGGTTAAGTCCCTGCCTGAGGAAGTGGCGGCGGCAAGCTGTGGCTGTGTTGATAAAAAAAACTCCTGCGCAGCCCTCCAAGACTGTGCCGGGATAGAGAAAAGAGATGGAAACAAAAGCAACAATTTAGCTGAACCACAATCCCTGCCAGTGGAGCTGCAAGGGTCCAGTCCCTGCCCTGATGCAGGTGGCGGCAAACTGACTATGTTGAAACCAAGCCCCCCTTCAGGTCCAAATGGTCCCGGCTCTGGCAGAGACAATGGTGGGGCCAAGGTCAAGCTCCAGCCAACCGCCACTGTGGTAAGCCAAAGGCCCCCAACCCCCTCAGAATCCCGTGGGTCTGTGCCTACTTATCTTTATGATGCTCCTCCTGCATTCCAGCTGTGTTGAATTTCCCTTTAAGCAACTCTCCTGGGCTGAATTCTGCAGAGTCCCTGTGGTATGTGTCACTTCATCGCGATCTTCCCAGAAGTCAAACAATGTTCTCTTACTGTCTTACTCCATCTTTGAGGAGACCTGATTTAACATTCCCATGGAAAGAACATGCCACATTTTTGCTTTGCTACATTTCCAAGTTTTGGAATTTATTAGATTAAGGTGACCAGACATCCTGCTTTGGGCGGCACAGTCCCTATTTTAAACAATTTTTCCTGCATCCAGTGGCATTTTTAAAATGTCCGATTTTTGAAAGAATGCACGACAAGCTAGGGTATACAGTTTTCGGCTGCCATGTGGCTATTTCACCTGGATATGAATTTTATCAGTGTTGTCCCGCTTTTTTTCCGCTTTACCAATGTTAAAATCTGGTCACCTTATATTAGATAGATAGATAAGTAGATAGATAGATGTAGATTAGATAGATGTAATGTAAAAAACTAAGTTGTAGAATTGTTTATCTATCGTACATATATATATACAATGTAAAGGTCTCCTTTTCCATTTTCTCTGCTTCCTTTTTTTTAATGGAATGTCATCTACAAATAAAGGATTGGAGTAAATTCACAGTAGTCATTTACTCTTTTTTAATATTTAGAGGTTTACTGTGTCATTGATGCAATTGTCCTTAGTAAGTTGCATGAACTATTTTCAATAAATAAAAAGTCAGAAATTCTTGTTCTTGTAAATATCTGTAGTTTAGGATTGAAATACTCAGTTCCATTTCTCTGGATGGATTGACACAGTGGTTGCAAATATGGACTCAAACATTACAAAGGGGGAGGCTGTGCAGGACGAGGCTGTGCCTTGTTGGATGTGAGGTCTCTGCACCCTGGGACTGTCTCAATGGCCTGTGACAACAAAGGTCATCCTCAGTGCTCAAATAATAATAATAATACCAAGAGGTACTCATTGTTTTACAACATAAAGAAGTAATTTTGGCACAGTGGAAGCTTTCCTTTTCAATTTTTTATCATAAGTGTACCAATACTTTGATAATGTTTTGGCCAACCATTTGGTCAGTCTTAGCTGTGGTTTGACTTCTGTTGCTGTCTATGTACCTATGATTCCAATATTTTATGTGTTTGCTTATTATTTCCCCCTCCTAGATGTGCAGCAAATGGCAATTGACTGGCTAACAAGAAATTTCTACTTTGTGGATCATATCAGTGACCGGATCTTTGTTTGTAATTACAATGGGTCTGTATGTGTCACTCTGATTGAGCTGGAGCTTCATAATCCCAAGGCGATAGCAGTGGATCCAATAGCAGGGTAAGAAACCTTGTTTTCTATGGAACAGTTTTGATCAGAGTAAAATAAATAAGTTTGGTGAAAGCTGTGGATAATGATGCAAATGCAATTTAAATACATATGCATAATATGCATGATGCACTGTACATATCCTTTGTCTCTTGGCCAAATGGTCCCTTGTTTTCTGCGGAACAGACCCATAGTCTTGGCACTGCTCCTCTACTCTGTCTCCTGGTCTCCTTGCACTAACCTCTGGTCTCAGAGTGGCATAGCCTCTGCAGTCTTCAGGAAGCGGTTTCAGACATGCTCCTCTTCCTTGGGGATTCATTCTCTGATTCTGATAGGGCTTTTATGCACAGAGGAATGGTTTTGATGGAGATGTGTTTTTGTCTTTCAGAAGACCATATCCCCAGGGAATAAAAGGGTAGTGGCTTGTTTCACATCCTCAAATTATGTGAATACTAAGAAAAAAATCCCACCTTAATACTGTTCGTTAGCATTACAGAGAACGCCCTTCAAAGTGGGCCTATAACCACAGGCATGCAGACTAGAGTTTAGGATACACCCCATAAAGGATTATGGCTAGAACAACTATTTACTACATCTCAGGTGGTAAGAAGATACTTTATTATATTTATCAATAAATCTGATAGTTAGTAGATTTTAAGCTGGTACCTAATTGGACATAGATATTTGCTTTGTTTAATATGTAGAATTTGTAAAAAATAAACAGTTGAGAACCCTAATGGTGCAATAGGTAACATGGGGCTGCTAACGGAAAGGTCTGCTATTTAAGCCACCTCTCACTCTGTGGGAGGAGATGATTGCTCTGCTCCATAAGGATTTACAGCCACAAACCATCAGAAGGAGAGATTGACTGTGTCCTCAAGGGTCCCTGTGAGTCAGAATTACCTCACAGCAGTGAATTTTCTCTTTTATTAAATATGTTCAAGAATACATCATAAATAATTAGTGATATCTCTAGTAGTTGAGACTTTTATTGATATCTAAATATATTATAATGGAGATATTAAATTCCTCATTATAATCCATCTTAATTTTTGCAAGACACTAGATTAATTGGAAAAGAGGCCTCTAATGACCTTTTAAAGGTAATAACATCATTAATCATTGCCAATGATTCAAATTTGCCAAAAAATAGTAAACTAAATATGTAACTGTTCACATGATTGGATAATCAATACAGATATTATGGCTCTATTTTATAAACAACATAGTGTTCTTAGTAGAGTTTTAAATTTATAGAATGCTATAAATATACTTCACCCTTATTTTAGGGCAAGGATGCTTTCATATTAATAATACAGAGCTTCACTCTAATCGGAGCTTTTATTTTTGAACATGTAAAATTTTGCAAGGATTTCAAAACTGGCATTTTATCCCTGTTATTGTTTCAGTACTCCCCAGGCAGTTCGGGCTGAAATGTCTGATGGAACACATCCTAAACTGCCATAAGCCTCCATTCAATAAAAGGGAAAATATTTACTGAAGAAACAGCTGTCATCCATATGTGGACTTTTGTCACTCTTTACTTAAAGTCTGATTGAATATTAAGATGTATCATCACAATGGTTCTGATTTTGACAAGAACAGCTTGCACGTAAGATCTTGGTGAGGAAGGCTGGGTGATATAATTCTTGAATGCAGCTCTATTTGTATTTGCAGCAGATGGTTACTTTACTCAATCTGACTGCAGCAATGCTTCAAAAGACATTAGTAGAAGGAGCTGTATTTAAACATATTTGTTTAGGCTGTTGGATAAGGGTAGTAAGGAAGAATTGGAAACTTGCAAATGTGCTAACAGCATCCTTTTTGACATCGTATTTAGAAGTATAAAAGGAGCCCTGGTGATACAGTGGTTAAAGCCCTTGGCTGCTAACTGAACTTGTGGTGGTTTGAAACTGCTGGACTCCCACAGGAGTAAAATGTGGCCGTCTGCGTTCATAGAGACCTATGGCATGGGAGGCTTTAAGGAGCAGTTTTCCTCGGTCGTGCCTTGTCACTAAGAGGTGGAATTGGCTTTATGTCAGTGTGCTTGTTGTTGTTTTTGTTGTTCTTTGTACCTTCTTCCCTGCATTTCCTCGCTGAATTTCAGATTAGCCTTTAGACCATCTTATCTCTCAAACATGTTGAGGTGAGGCTATTTTTTTCTACCCTTTCACAAGCACTCTTTTTCAGTTCTTAAGACAAAGATCCAAATACCCTTTACAAATAAACCTGCCAATCTGAAATGTAATATGCGAATACCAGCTCTGTTTCTTAACAGCAACATTTTTTTATGTTCTCAGGCTTCCTATTTCTCCTTGTCATTCATGAAAGAACCATATTTTGTCATTTTTGTCAAAAGAGTTAGGAGCAGAAAACCCCCACGTCGCGTGCACTTATTCTTTGCTGGATTCCTTTGGGCCTAGTAACTGTTTAAATGTAATTGTGTCATGTATCATTTATCACAATAGGTTCTTAGGAGTTTTTGTTTGAGTTTGTACTGTCTCTCTAGCACAATTTCTCACTCATAAATCATAGAAATCAATGCAGGGAAAGCTCTGGGTCCTTTAAAAAACAGGTATGTCTGCCATTGAGTGTTTTCAAATATGAGTATATGCTATGGACTTCTACACAACCACCACCACCCCACCCCGCTATGGATTTGTTTTTATTTCATTTTTTAAGATGAGAAATTTGGTTGGAATTATTGTGATGACATCTAGGAAGTAGGTGTTTTGTTTAATTTCTACATTTCTGCTTACCTTAGAGTAATTGGGACAGTTGACACAAAAACAGGTCATAACTACATATCATAATAAAAGTTATCAGTACAATTTGTCATATTGTCTCCTAATTTAAGGGGAGCTCTGGTGGTGTAGTCATTAATTCACTTGCTAACCACAGATCGGTGGTTCAAACCCACCAGCTGCTTGTTAGGAGAATCATGAGGTGTACTCTTCCTGTATGCCTACCTTCGGCACTGGTTGTTATATCATTAATTTGGAAAACATTAAAGATTTTTTTTTTCATGGCTCCTTTCCATCTTTTTTTTTTTTATCATTTTATTAGGGGCTCATACAACTCTTATCACAATCCATACATACATCAATTGTGTAAAGCACATTTGTACATTCATTGCCCAACATTAAAGAATTTTAAAAACCTGACTTGAGTTTTAGAATGTGCCCTTAATATGAAAATAAATGGAGATTTGTCTCATGTTTCCAAAGATGACTGCATTGAAAACAAAATTCCATATGTATGTGTGTGTGTGTATATATATATATATATATATATATACACACTTAACCATAATTTTGCTTTCACTTTATTCAACCTTTTATTCCTTATTTATTTAGGAACCCTATCTGCACAGTTATCATTATTTTATCATTATTATATTTTCTATAGGTTGCAAATTTATTATTAATTTTCTATGGACTATATTTTGACTTAAACCAGCCTCAAAATTCAAATCTTCAAATGAAGAAATTGTAGTTTCATGCTCTTGATTTCTGTGTGTTCTTATCAGTGGCCAAAGAAATATTTTTTTCGGGATACAGTTGGTGATTTTTTCTTCTTCAGATTTTAGCCACATTCCTTTCCAATCCTTCCTTGATTTTTTTCCAACATTAATTCTATAAAGGTAATAAAGTTGAAAATGTCCCAGAGGAAAAGCTATTAAGTTTGTGTAAAGTAAAATTAAGAGGTTTATTGGAAGTATAAAATCCATGTGAATGGGTAACCAGGGCTCTACCCCAGAGAAACTAGTGAATCAGAAAACGGCAGAGCAGAGGATACACATGCAAGTTATTAGAACCAAGGGCCTAAGTGGCCTCACTTGATTGGAGGTTACGCACTGAAATCCTCGTAATACAGGGCGTGGGAGATGTCTGTCCTAGGACAGTTCTCTCTTAGGAACAACCTGTGCAAGTGAACCCTTCTTGTAAGCAGTTTGTAGAGACACCTTGAGGGGAGAAGGGGTCAATGCTTTTTTCCCAGGGTATTTTAATGCAACTTTACCATGGAAAAATATTTATTGAGGCCATTCGGTAGAAAAAGGTATTTGTAGAACCTGAGAAATAGTTCATTGATATACTGTACTTCCAGCTTGATTGCTTGTAAAATGTCTTCCTAATCACTTACAGGGGCTAACTAGAGAGAAGATTCAAAGATCTACATTGTAAAGACTCTTAACTTTTATCTTGCTTAATATAATAGGGTCTGGGTTAATTTAAGCATTATACTTTGGCCAAAGGGGTTTCAGGTTTTCTCCTTTACAGAAAGTATGAAAATATCCCATTAAAATGAACACCAAAAATGCATCTTAGAACAAATTAGGAGGACACTTAAAAATGTGGAAAAGTGGAATTAAAATATAATGGATTTCTTTCCATAAACATATTGAAAATCAATCAGTATGGAACAGAGGAACACTGATCTTTGAGAGCCTGGGGTAGAGTGTGAGGGTGGGCAGTGAGGTGACCACCATGCTTGCCCCCTCTAACTTCCTTTTGAACATGCCTAGGTAACTACATAGAGAAGGGACTCCCAAAAGGAGTCTGATAGACTTTCAAAGGTGAGGAGACAAGACTAAGATTTCTGATAGCTAGAGTTAGCAGCCACCTCATGTCTGCCAGTGTGTCGTACTGTGGTGGCTTGTGTGTTTCTGTGATTCAGGAAACTGTATCACTGATATTTCAAATGCCAGCAGGGTCACTCAAAGTTTGCAAGTGTAGAATCTGCTGCCCACTTTAGAGGAAGTAGCTGCTGAAAACCTATGCGTATGCATGGCTTTGAAACATGGAATGTCTAATGATGGGAAACAGAACATTTTCTTGGATCCACAATCAGTGCATGGGTTGGGTCAGGTTGACTAGAAAAACAAATCCAGTGACATTTGTCTATGTGTTAGAAAGAGCTTTATATCAAGAAGTAATTATACATTGAGAAAATTAACCAGGCCAGTGCAACTCAAGTCCCTAATTCTGATACTAGTCCATAGCACAATACTT